GAAACTTCAAAGACGATTTACTGAAGGCGTTTGGAGAAGAAGTAGTTTCACATTGTGTAAATCTATGGTAGGTTGCTATTTCCTGGCATTTTAGTTCAAATTGGTGCGAAGTATTCCGACAAATGCTACTCCAAATCTGACCACGTACGCTTGTTAACTCGGTTTACGTTTCGCGTCGAAGCTCACAATGCCTCATGTCTAAGCCACGACTAAAACTTGTAATGAAATAACACTTGAATCATTCGAGACGGTTTGTTGAACTTATTTTGTTTTCTTGAGAATTTTTCGTTCGTCCCGCAAGTTGCTCCAAGATGATAAATGATTCCGTTGAGAAACAGGGGGAAAATATTACACTGATTTGTTCTAATTTATAGTTATTGTTGATCACCGTTGACACGTTTGGATTTGTTCCTTCCACTTTCAGAAAGAAAAGTCCTGAAGAGAGCAAAGTCGGTGGACAACAAGGAACAAGTCAACTTTACATTAACTAGAGGAGGACACAAAGATAAGAACATTATTTGTAAATTTAGTTCAGTTTACAGTGAAACCTTTCCAATAGAAATGGCAGCGTTTTTACATGACAATTTTTGGAGTTAATTTCAAAACTGATCAAGAGGTAAGTTCTCGCTCGCTTCTCGCAGGGAAAATTGTCTGAGTTGCCAAATTGAATGCATTCACAATATTTTGTAGGAAAGTTCTGATTCTTACATGGCTGATCAAAAGTAATGTTCTCGCTTTAGGAAAAATTGTCTGACTTGCCAAATTGAATGCATTCACATTTTTTGCAGCAAGGTTCTAATAATTACATAGCTCAGTGATCACAAGTTAAGTTCTCGCTTCATCCTGACAGGAGAAATTGTCTGACTTGTCAAATTAAATGCTTCGCCTTTTTTTGTTCTGAGGTTATGGTTCTTAAATGGCTGATCAGTCAATAGTTACGTTCTCGCTTTACTCTGACAGGAGAAATTGTCTGATTTGCCAAATTAAATGCATTCGCATTGAAGCTCAGAAACAGTTACTTTGAATTCTGCTTTTTATTGGAAAGGTTTTACGAGTGTCATGTTTTCACAAAGTGCATTTATTTTCGAGTGATTCGGACATTTCGTTGATTCAAACTGAATTCTGTTTGGCTTTTGCATGCTTTACCATTTCGTTCAAATTCGAGTTTGTTTTCTATTCGTTAAAAACTGCGAAACATATCGAGGCTAAAGCCCCTGGTTTGAAAACATGGCACACTACAGTTAAACTTTTAAAGATGGCCTTGTATGTTCACTGAAGCAGTGATAGCAACAACTAGCACAATGTTTGGATTATTTTGCCTCCAAATTCATTCGCGTCAAGTTTTGAGTTTTTTTTTCGTTGTTTTTCGGCGTTAATTTGTTTGTTTTTCAACATCGTTAAATGCCGTAGACTCGACATGCAGAGCCATCTTAATATTAAGTTACTTGTTAGGGTGACTTGACACATGTATTCAGTGAGGTTGCAAAGAATTATTGTCTGGGTTTTCTGCAATTCTCGACAAATTAGGATTGAAAAAGTTTCATTTATTTTTCGAGTAGAAATTGAACTAAGTCAGTTCCGTTAATCGATGTTCAATTCTGACTGTCTTGGATCTCTATAAAATTGTCTAAAACTCTTCATCTGCGAATGTTAAATTCAGATCTCTCTGGATTTTTTAATATTCTTTTAAAAAATTCATTTCGGGTGAATCGCTAAGAAAATTTAACGATCGTGTTGCAATAATTTATCTTAATCATAATTGTCTTGTAGTTTTCAAATTTGTTCTAAAAAATTCAACAATCTCGTTGCAACAATCTACATTTATTTCTGTCTTGGATCTGTATATTGTACTAAATCAATTCTGTTTATTGTCGAAAAATATTGACGATCTTCCATCAATTTGTTCAATTCTGATTGCTTTAAATCGATGTTTTAAATCGCTGTAGAAACTTGATGATTGTTCTGGAAAGACTCGGCCAATATTAAATTCTATCTTCTTGGATTTTTGAATTATGATCAACTAATTCTGCTACATCGCTAAACAAAATTTACGAGGGCACCTTATCGATTTTCATTCATCGTAATTGTCTTGGACTTTCAATTGTGATGGCAAAAACTGACGACCATTTTTGATCCGTGTATAGTTACAATTGTCTTGGATTTCCAAATTGTGTTCACTCGTTTCTGTTGAATCGCTGATACAAATTGTCTAACTTGGCAATTTTTTTCGTTCAACACGATACCCAGACAATAATCTTTAGTGTCTCACTGAATATTACATTATATTTCTCGAAGGTAACATGGCAAGCCAATTTTTCGTTTGTTTTGTTTTTTGTTCATCGGCAAGTAACTAATCGGATCGGTTTAATTTTAACTTGANTTGATGGCTTGCCTATTTACCTTCTTGATATATAATGTAGTGTAATAACATTACGTGAAATAGTGTGTCCTAAAACGACGAGCAGCTGGAAATCCGTTTACAGAAATGAGAAGATCGGGCAAAAATTAGCAGATTAAAATTAGTTCAACTACAACGTTTCAGCACACTGGTTTGGATGTTGAGACGAAGAGAACATTTTTTGACTCGTTATGATCAAGAGAGCTTGTATAGTTGGGCTCAATTTACCCAGCGATATGAACTTTCTTAATTGTTACGATTTAAAAATGTTTTCATCTTCTCAGTGTTCAACCTAGTGCGTTCAAAAGTTGCAGTTGTGCTAATTTTTATCTACTCTTCTCATTTCTGTATATTTCTCGCTGTTTGGCGTTTTAGGACATACTATTTTATGTAATGTTAGGGTGTAATACTCCATCTTGTGCAAAAATTTTATCTCAAATTTTTGTATAAGACGGTGAATCACATTTTTGGCGGGAAAATAATTCAAGGGGGTACCCCCTTAAAATTTTTGTCAAAAAAGTTGCCAGTGGAAACGCTGTGCAAATTTTTTCCAATTTTCCCGCCAAAAGTCTTAGTATATATAGGGCAAATTTTTTGATGACACCTTTGTAATTAATTTAATGGAAAATCACTTAATTAATTATTCAAGTTGAATAAAACTAACTTGCTTGTATTTATTGTTTGAATGAAATATTTTATTAAAGATAATAAAGAATACAAAGAAGACATTTGAACTTTACTGACTTCTGTTAATAGCAATATAAAATAACAGAGACCAGAAAAAGACTAAATAACTTTTATTGATATTACAATATTAACTTAGTGATACACTTGAAAAAAAAAAAAAATGGCGCATGCGTATTTTGGGCGCCGTATTTTTTTCTAAGATTTTTTGCGGGAAAAATAAAAATTTTAAACGGAATACATAAAGTATAAGACGATTTTTTTAACACAAAAAATTGGCGCATGCGTATTTTGAGCGCCCGTATTTTTTCTAAGTTTTTTGGCGGGAAAAATAAAAATTTTAAACGGAGTACATAAAGTATAAGACGATTTTTTAAACAAAAAAAAATTGGCGCATGCGTATTTTAAGCGCCCGTATTTTTTCTAAGTTTTTTGGCGGGAAAATTAGGAATTTTGACATGGGTCTTCACGACTAATAATCTCCGCCAAATTTCAAACAAGAGCGTTAAAGCGCGAAGAAAACTTTTAGTTACAAACTTATTCCAGCTACACAGTG